CCCCTAAACACCCTTCACAAAATAATTTGCCTCTTCTATTTTGATTTTTTTTGTGTGTGCACCATTTTTAAATAAATAAATAAATAAAATAACAGATTAACGTACAATGTAATGGTTTGAGATCTTTGCACTTCAAGAATGGTGTGTGTCTAGTAGGAATATAATTATGCAAGGAATCAAACCAAAATACTGTTCAGTTACAATCTTTTCCCCTGAACAAAAGAAAAAAGATAATTAGTCTATTGTAGCTGTTTTATGCCCTTGTCAAAATAATTTATATTATCATTTCGGATGCGGGCTGCCTGTTATTCGTTAAGACCAACCCGAGCTGTAATGCATACGAAGTCCCTGCAAAAAGACAGGGTGGATACTCGATAACAAATTTTCACTTCACGGGAATCGAACTCACGTGTTCCGCGTGCTATGGTGAAGTGCCTAACCACTGCACCAGAGAAGTTGGTGTCCTTTGGAAATTTATTGGTAAAATAGCAAACACACATTGAAAAATCACTGTTTCCCACCTTTTAGGTAATGGAAAAACAAAAAACACGGGTGTTCAGATCAGGTAGCTCGTCCAGTGAGGTGAAGAAGAAATAAGTTCAAATCCAGGAGAAAATCCAAGTAATTATTTGCTTCACGAAAAAAGAAGACACTTCGAGTTCTTTTAGGCCGGGCCTGTGATTATAACTAAGTCTAAACCTGTCGTTATCACTGACTAGAAATGTCAGTCTCCTTTATCTCGATCTCTCTGTCTCTCCAGCCCAGCCCTGTGATCAGGTAGGTAACAACTGCTGAAGTCTGCACCTCGCTCGTGTCTTATAATAGTTCTGTCAGGTCCGCTTGTTATGCTCTTAGGCCTAGTGGTGTATCGTTTAGCCGACCCCCGCCTGCTGGTTTTTGTGTGCGTATGTGTGTGTGTGTGTGCGTATGTGTGTGTGTGTGCGTCGCGCGCGAGGCGCGGGTGTGGGAACCCAGCTGAATCGACCAATCAGCGTGCAGCTTCATTGTTGTGAATGTTATGTCCGGTTTGTGTCAACTGCGCGAAAACATGGCTGAGGTAGTTCAGGGGTGGGAGGGGGTGGAAAGAGAAGAAGAAGAAGAAGAAGAA